ACAGTAATCCCATGCAATTTGCAATTTTTAATTTGGGTTAATCTCATTTTACACCCCGAAAAATTGTTCGCATCTCAATTTACGCCCTCAAATATCAAAAATCTCAATTTACACCCTCAAAGATAGAAATTTGTATCAATGTGCACCTCCAAATATCAAAAATCTCAATTTACACCCTCAAAGATAGAAATTTATATCAATGTGCACCCCAAAGATAAAAAATCTCAATTTGCACCCTCAAAGATAGAAATTTGTATCAATGTGCACCTAAAAACTAAATTGATAAATTATACCTAGATCCCCTCATACTTGTCACTTATTCATTTAGTCCTCTTCATATTTAGAATATTACTCTTACATCTTATGGTATTTGTGCACGTATAACACGTAACCCATTTTCATTTTTATCTATTAATATAACCGTTAAAAATATAATTTTATCCTAATAAAAAATTATAATTTCATATTACCCTTTATTTTATGGGTTTAATATATTCTAAAGTTTAAAATCTAGTTTATCATTTGAATGTCTAATAAAATGTAAATATTTATATAATATTTTTCATATTACCTTTTATATAAATATCTACATTTTATTAGACATTCAAATGGTAAGCTTGATTTTTAACTTTAGAGTATATTGAATCCACAAAATAAAATGTAATATGAAATTATAATTTTTTATTAGGATAAAATCATATTTTTTAATGATTATATTAACAGATATCAACGAAAAGTGGTTATGTGTTACACATGCACAAACGTCATGAGATGTAAGGGGAATATTCTAAATGTGAAGGAGTTCAAATGATTAAGTGACAAATATGAGGGGATTTAGGTATAATTTATTAATTTAATTTTAGGTACACATTGATACAAATTTCTATCTTTGAGGGTGTAAATTGAGATTTTTTATTTTTGGGGATGCACATTGATACAAATTTCTATCTTTGAGGGTGTAAATTGAAATTTTTGATCTTTGAAGGTGTAAATTGAAATTTGAATAATCTTTTAGGGTGCAAAATGAGATTAACCCTTTTAATTTTTATAGCCATACTTGGGATAGCCTTAAGAAGTGTGTGTTTTTATATGTCTACTATGGCCCTTACAGTGTTAGTGTGAGTGGTTTTAGTAGCCATACCAAAAAGAAAAATATAATATTAGCACAAATTAGTTATTCAACTACTATTGTTTTGAAACTAATTAGATATTGTGATTTTAAATTTATTTACCAAATTAGTATTGTTTTCCAAAAAACCATTGTTCAATGCAAAAGCGTGTTTTGAAAACTCTTTCACTTTCTATCATTTTAAAACTTATTTATCAAAATACGATAATATTAAACTTATTTTTCAAAAAGTATATTTGAAAAATACATTGCGCTTTAAAAATACAATTTCAATTGACAAGTTTTGCCTTTGAATGGGAAATCAGTGATATGATAAATATTCATTCCTAGAAAATTGATATATTAGTTTGAGTATAAAAAATAATCTCTCTAAAACATATAAAACACTACTTTTTTTGTTACAAAGTGTTTAACCTTGCATTGACTATTTCTTCAAGCTCAGCAATTGGTTGTCGTAATTTGAAGATAAAACACTACTTCTAGACAAAAGTTTTTTGCACTAACCATGTGTCATTTGATAATATATATATTTTTATATAATTTATTTTTAAAAAATAGTTTTATTGCTATGATAAAAATGTTTTTGCCCCAAAAAAAATAATTGAAAAAACATTGCCCCGTTCTCACTATATATATTTTACCCACCAAGAGCTGCTTAGGCTGTAAAATTGATGCTGTAATTAATAATAATGTGGTCATATAGCTAATAATGATTTAGACTTTATATATACTCTTGTAGGAACAACATCTAGCAAATACTTGCCTCGTAGTTTGCACAACACTTGAACAATTTATTGATTTAATCTATCATAATTATTGAATTGATTGTGAATTCAACAAGTATTGAAATTTACAATCAATTCAATGATTAAATACTAACGCACCACACTGCACGAAAAATATTATCTCTCTATTGTCACCCTATCCAACTCTCACCATCATGGCATCACTCATGCCCTAACTCGACACTATTCAAAAATTATATATTTGAAGTTTATACATAAATAGTTACCAAAGACCATACAAAATTTAAGGATAAAATAACGAGAAGTGGTTATAAGGGCCGCAGTGAATTTTTTTGAGATTATTTAAATAACAATCATCTTCGATAAAATTTAATTGTTATTAGATAATTTACTAGTAATTTGAATTATACATTTATAAAAATATAATAACAATTGAGATTAATTTAATTTTCATCTAATTTTATTTAACGGTACACAATTTATTAAACAAAAAAAAAATTTGTCTAAAAATGTCATTTTTTGTGCACAATCTCCGATGTTAAATAATTCAACCAACGTATTTTTAATAGCAGACAATTCTACTAATCCACACTACCTCTCTATTATTTTATCTCTGTCTATTTTAATTTTAAATTATATATTAAAAAAATTATTATTTAAAAAATATATATTATGTAATTAATATTTAATTATTGGTATTACAGTGTGAAGACACATGAATTTTTGATAGTATTATATTATTATAGATAAAAATATTTGGAGGGAAGCTTAAGCAAATAAACAAATAACACTTTCTAACGTGAATAATAACACACTATAAATTATCGGTAATTACGATTTCCACATAAAAGACGAGAACAGAGCCATCATACAGTACGCACAGAGGGAACCAAGTACAACCTTAAAAATTCTCTCTCTGTTCGCCGGAAAATTACGTCACCCATCGATATAATCCATCTGCTAATACTCGGCGGCGAGGTTCGGATCATATGATTTCCCTCTGCTTTTCAGTGTAAGGACAATTATATGCGTTAGATTTTCTTGAGCTTTTATAAAAATATGGGGTCTTTGTCAACTTTGTTCCAGATCTCGTATCTTTGATTAAAGATGCACAATTTGGATTTTTGGGGGTTTTCTGTTAACGTTGATGGTGAATTTGGGGGGAATTGAATGTGTATTTGATTAATATCTGGGGGATTTTTTTTGATATTTCGAGGAATGGAAGAGGGTGTGAGATCAGGGGGTGTGTTGAAGAAAAAGAGCTCATCTGGTTGTTTGATTATCAAAAAGAAAGGGGATGGGATGGGTGGGGTTGGTCCGTCGGGTTCACGTAAAGATAAGAAGAGGTCTAGATTAATTCGTAGGGATTCGGGGTCGAGTGATGAGTTACTAGAGCCTAGTCGGAGGAAAGTAACAGGAAAGTGTCATAATGGCTCGGTTGAATTTAGAAAGAATATTGTGGACAATAGAGAATTTGTTAGGAATGGCGAATTTGGAAGTGAAGAGACAAAGGGAAGTAGGTTAGATTTGTTTGAATTCAATGAGTATGATGAATTCGATGGAAAGATGATGAGGAATGATTATATGATTGGACGTAGGGGGAGTCCCANAGGAAGTTCAAACTAATTCAATCCCAAACTTAACAAAACCCAACCCATTTGGTTACCATTGGGCCCATAATCCAACTATGTATAGTCCTTCCTCCTAAAATAATAAACACAAACACAGTAATCCCATGCAATTTGCAATTTTTAATTTGGGTTAATCTCATTTTACACCCCGAAAAATTGTTCGCATCTCAATTTACGCCCTCAAATATCAAAAATCTCAATTTACACCCTCAAAGATAGAAATTTGTATCAATGTGCACCTCCAAATATCAAAAATCTCAATTTACACCCTCAAAGATAGAAATTTATATCAATGTGCACCCCAAAGATAAAAAATCTCAATTTGCACCCTCAAAGATAGAAATTTGTATCAATGTGCACCTAAAAACTAAATTGATAAATTATACCTAGATCCCCTCATACTTGTCACTTATTCATTTAGTCCTCTTCATATTTAGAATATTACTCTTACATCTTATGGTATTTGTGCACGTATAACACGTAACCCATTTTCATTTTTATCTATTAATATAACCGTTAAAAATATAATTTTATCCTAATAAAAAATTATAATTTCATATTACCCTTTATTTTATGGGTTTAATATATTCTAANCTCTACTAATCCACACTACCTCTCTATTATTTTATCTCTGTCTATTTTAATTTTAAATTGTATATTAAAAAAATTATTATTTAAAAAATATATATTATGTAATTAATATTTAATTATNTTCTACTAATCCACACTACCTCTCTATTATTTTATCTCTGTCTATTTTAATTTTAAATTATATATTAAAAAAATTATTATTTAAAAAATATATATTATGTAATTAATATTTAATTATTGGTATTACAGTGTGAAGACACATGAATTTTTGATAGTATTATATTATTATAGATAAAAATATTTGGAGGGAAGCTTAAGCAAATAAACAAATAACACTTTCTAACGTGAATAATAACACACTATAAATTATCGGTAATTACGATTTCCACATAAAAGACGAGAACAGAGCCATCATACAGTACGCACAGAGGGAACCAAGTACAACCTTAAAAATTCTCTCTCTGTTCGCCGGAAAATTACGTCACCAATCGACATAATCCATCTGCTAATACTCGGCGGCGAGGTTCGGATCATATGATTTCCCTCTGCTTTTNTACAGTACGCACAGAGGGAACCAAGTACAACCTTAAAAATTCTCTCTCTCTTCGCCGGAAAATTACGTCACCCATCGATATAATCCATCTGCTAATACTCGGCGGCGAGGTTCGGATCATATGATTTCCCTCTGCTTTTCAGTGTAAGGACAATTATATGCGTTAGATTTTCTTGAGCTTTTATAAAAATATGGGGTCTTTGTCAACTTTGTTCCAGATCTCGTATCTTTGATTAAAGATGCACAATTTGGATTTTTGGGGGTTTTCTGTTAACGTTGATGGTGAATTTGGGGGGAATTGAATGTGTATTTGATTAATATCTGGGGGATTTTTTTTGATATTTCGAGGAATGGAAGAGGGTGTGAGATCAGGGGGTGTGTTGAAGAAAAAGAGCTCATCTGGTTGTTTGATTATCAAAAAGAAAGGGGATGGGATGGGTGGGGTTGGTCCGTCGGGTTCACGTAAAGATAAGAAGAGGTCTAGATTAATTCGTAGGGATTCGGGGTCGAGTGATGAGTTACTAGAGCCTAGTCGGAGGAAAGTAACAGGAAAGTGTCATAATGGCTCGGTTGAATTTAGAAAGAATATTGTGGACAATAGAGAATTTGTTAGGAATGGCGAATTTGGAAGTGAAGAGACAAAGGGAAGTAGGTTAGATTTGTTTGAATTCAATGAGTATGATGAATTCGATGGAAAGATGATGAGGAATGATTATATGATTGGACGTAGGGGGAGTCCCGTGGAATTTGGAAGTGGGNCTGGAAGTGAAGAGAGAAATGGAAGTAAGTTAGATTTGTTTGAATTCAATGAGTATGATGAATTCGATGGAAAGAGGATGAGGAATGATTATATGATTGGACGTAGGGGGAGTCCCATGGAATTTGGAAGTGCGTCTAGTAGAAACATATTGGGTGGGAGGAATAAAGGAGTCAATTGCAATGTAAAGAGCATGTTGGAGAGGGAGGNCGTAGGGGGAGTCCCGTGGAATTTGGAAGTGGGTCTAGTAGAAACGTAATGGGTGGGAGGAATAAAGGAGTCAATTACAATGTAAAGAGCATGTTGGAGGGGGAGGAGGATGAAGCTCATTTGCCAATTTCATCTTTGAGGAGAGAGAAGTTTCAGGAAGCATCTGATAAGCCTATCAGGTTGCAGGGGAAAAATGGTGTATTGAAAGTAATGGTCAATAAAAAGAAGATGGGTTTGTCTCATAGTAGTTACAATCATCAGGAAGTTAAGGATAGAACGGGTTCTAGGTCTGGGGATGCTTTTAGAAAGAACACAGTGGCGCGACCCTCATCATATTCTGATTCGAAACATCCTGAAAAAACAGTTACATTTGTCAAGACTGAGAAAAGTGAGATGAAATTGCGGAAATCATTGCAAACTAAGAGCAGTAAGGGTGGGGATTTGGAAACAGACACCTCACTGAAGCTGAGACCTTCAACTGTGAAAGCTTGTGATGCAGCAATAGGGGTGAAAAATGAAGGAAAAAAAACTCCGCTGACTGAAAATACTACTACAGGTAGAAGTAAGGAAAGAAAAATTTCAGGCAGTGTGGGCACAGACAAGCAAATACTACGTGAGCAGATAAGGGATATGCTCATCAAAGCTGGCTGGACAATTGATTATAGGCCAAGAAGGAATAGAGATTATCTAGATGCCGTTTACATTAACCCCAGTGGAACGGCTTATTGGTCAATTATTAAGGCTTATGATGCTCTTCAAAAGCAGATGGAGGAAGAGGGTGATAATACCAAACCTGGCTCGAAAGAGGTTCAATTCTCTCCATTATCAGGTGACTTGCTCAATAAATTAACCAGACGAACCAGAAAGAAGATTGAGAAGGAAACGAAGAAGAGAAGAGACGATGGTCTTGCGGAGGGAAGTGACAATGATCAGCATGAGGATACACTTAGTTTCTATATGAGGCAGAATGGCAAGTCATTGAGAGGCAGATTGCAAAAAGCAGATCATGTGAGTGGGGATGATTTGAATGAAAATGCAACTAATTCTCGTAAGATACAAGGAAGAAAAAGCAGAATCAAAGGCAGATGTACTTTGTTGGTTCGTAGTTCTGACGAGGGACAGGATTCAGAAACTGAAGGCTATGTTTCATATACCGGAAAACGAACCTTGTTGGCATGGCTGATTGACTCTGGAACTGTGAAATTGAGTGAAAAAGTGCAGTATATGAACCGTAGACGAACAAAAGTAATGCTAGAGGGATGGATCACGAAGGATGGTATCCACTGTGGTTGCTGTAGCAAAATCCTTACGGTTTCGAAGTTTGAGATTCATGCAGGAACCAAAAAGGGTCAGCCATACCAAAACATAGTCTTGGAGTCTGGGTTTTCCTTGTTGCAATGCCAGATAGATGCATGGAACAGGCAGCAGGAGTCAGAACGCCAAGGCTTTTACACCATAGAAATTGATGGTGATGATCCCGATGACGATACTTGTGGCATCTGCGGTGACGGTGGGGATTTGATCTGTTGTGATGGTTGTCCATCAACGTTTCATCAGAGCTGCTTAGATATACAGGTATATGTTTGACAGAAATGGAAACTACTTTCGTTCTGTTTTTCTTTTGCCTGTAAACGCTCTTCTGGGCCATTTTATTGTTTTCCCTTCATTACATAGATAGTGATATGTATGTGTGCGATTATATACACAGCACACATGACTGTCTAGATGGTAATTATGCATCTGTGCAAACCAGATAAGGAATTTTTAGTGCATATTTAATGTTTTAGCTAGAAGGAATAGTGGATGGAGACTCTTTTTGAACTTTGAGATTTGGTGCAACTCAAAGAAAGTAGGTTTGGGATGAAAGATAAATACAGTGTAATATGATGTGTGATCGTTCATTGACAAGATAATTGCTATCTGTTACCTATTGCATGTTTAACCCGTAATATATTTGAAGACATTTGCAAACTCCAAGTTATTATAACGTGTTTGGAAGAGGCAAAACCTTGTCTCATTTTATGAGGTTCCTTTTATTGAAAAGAACAGATACAGTTACACCCTTCCCTTATCTTATTACTTGGCCTGACAGTGGGCATGATGGCAGATTTAAGAACTAACACCTCACGCTGGTGATGTAAATGTTTTTACTGGAACTTTTAGCTTTGAAGTTGATTTGTTGAGCATGTTAATGTTATGGAAGCGTAGGGTGCAAACTTATCGGCTTAGGAGAGAAAACCACATTGAATAAAGTAATTTAGTGTTGTGCGTTGGTGTGCTATAGCACTTTTTGCTTTGGCTGCACATTACATTGATTTGTGACTTTGCTGTTGGGTTGCGCTTCTCTTATTGCAGATGCTACCCCTAGGTGATTGGCACTGTCCAAATTGTACATGCATAATTTGTGGGATCGTCAGTGGGGGTGACGCTGAAGAAAATAGTAGAACTGTTGAATCACTTATCACATGCAGCCTTTGTGAGAAAAAATGTAATTTTCTTTCCTAGTTTTGTCTTAAGGTTTATGTGTGTTCTTTTTGTATTTTTTTTTCGACCGGGTTTGGCTGATATTTAACTTTTTGCCTTTGGTAGATCACGAATCATGCTGTCAGAAGATGAATTCTCTACCTGCTGATTCGAATAACGCCTCCACTTCCTTTTGTAGCAACAAGTGCCAGGAGGTATTAGCTTTTTTTAAGAATTTGGACAAGTGCCTATATTTTTTTCTCTTTGTCCAGGTCGTCTTTGTCATTTTCCAACCAGTCAGAACTCAAGCACTCTGGGGGCCCATTCAAGTTAGATAACCTCTGCTCATCCCATTCAACATCAGTTACAGTGCCCTTAAGACAATTTTATCCAATCTTTGACTGTATAAACGAGATGAAGGAATATATTGTTGTGTCCAGACGAAAAGAAATTTTGTCATTACAAAAATGGAGGGTAAGAAACAAGTCTTATCTTATTTAATCTCAAACCCTTAATAGAACCATTCAATTCTGCCTAATTTATGTCCTCTAAGCACTTCTACAACTAGAATAATGGAAGTAGGTTTGCACTGATGAATAGTGGAAAGGTTCAGATTGAACACAAAGTGTCCTTTAGTCTGTTTGAAATCAAATCTTCTCTAGTTGATTTCAATTTAATGTTGACTTTGCATTCTTCTGTTTGTTTCTGACTACCTGTCACTCTGCTATGAAAGCTATTTTGAATCTTTTGTTGGAAGATATCAAATAAATCAAAATTTGTGTGCTTTTGCAGATATTTGACCATTTGCAAAACCTTCTTGGGGTCAAACATGAAATGGAAGCAGGATTCTCATGGTCTCTCATTCGTCGAACAGATCTAGACTTAGATGCATTCCATCATGGGTCTCCTCAAAGAGTGGAATGCAATTCAAAGCTTGCCGTTGCACTTTCCATCATGAATGAGTGTTTTTTATCCATTGTTGACAGGAGGAGTGGCATTAATTTAATACATAATGTTCTTTATAATTGTGGGTAAGCAGTTATTCTTGTCTGGAACTATGCAGAATTTTGTCCACATATTAATTTATGCAGCCTACTATTGGTACACATTACGCATTTGCTCAACTAGTTTGTTTTCTTAAGGTTTCTATATGAGGCACATATTAACCACTCATTCTTTTTTGTTTTTTCCTTTTTTTGATACTAATAAATGCATTAATTGAAAAGCTGCCATTATTATGNATTACGCATTTGCTCAACTAGTTTGTTTTCTTAAGGTTTCTATATGAGGCACATATTAACCACTCATTCTTTTTTGTTTTTTTCCTTTTTTTGATACTAATAAATGCATTAATTGAAAAGCTGCCATTATTATGTTCATAGATTAACCTTTTTGGGCATTCTGATGGGCATTAGCCGCACAGGCCTGAGAGACTTTTCTGATCTACATACATCAAAGTCAATAGATTTGGCTACGATATGGTATGTGGTGGATGTTCCTAGGATTACTATTGATTCCTCAACAATCCAAGAGGATAAGACCACCCCAGTGACTAGCAGCCACAGCTCAATCTATGGCAAACAAATTACTAGTGATTCAACCAGTGCTGCATAACTAGCTCTAGCATATTTGGCTAGCGAGGCAGTTCTTCCACCATTTAAAGCAGCCTCGTTTCCCAGACCAGTTAGTAAATCAGTTTTGTGATGCCACAAACTTTTATTGGCTGTGCATGTGAGTAGGGTTGATAATCGAACGAGCACAAACAAGCTTGAGCCGAGTCTGTCAAACTCGCTTTCTAAACGAACCTAAAAATTTATTCAAGTTCGGCTCGTTTAGAAAACGAGTCTAAATGTGCCGAGCCTGAATGAGCTGAACCTAAGCCTAGGTCGAGTAGGTCGGTTCGTTAGCCCCACATGTGAGAGAAGGTTACGAATNTTGCATCGTATCTTACGATACACGATACGATACACGATACGATACAATATTTGTATCTTACGATACGCCTTCCGATACACGATTTGATAACTATGGTTACGAATGTTAGGCCATTTAGATGTTTTTTAAGGATAGTACCTATTGAGTGACTGATTTCATTTGCTAATAGCTGTTGGAGGGTAAAGTACAATTGAATATTCGTATGTATTGCTATGACAATAGGGCATACTTACTTTCCAAAAAAAAAAGACAATAAGGCATACAACTTATATTTTTGTCATGCTTTGTCTTCCACATCCTCATTTTTCTAATCATACTTTTCTCTTCATGGTGTAGAATGAGTAGGTATGATTAATTGCTATCTTTGATGATTATTTTAACTGTGGTACTTTTTTGGGGTTGTCGCATATTATCTGAATATATGTTGTTTTTAATTTTTTTTTTTCTGTAGATCAAACTTCAGTCGTTTGAACTATAGTGGCTTTTATACAGCGATTTTGGAGAGGGGCGATGAAATAATTTCTGCAGCATCCATCAGGTATAATTCTTCGTAGTTTTGAAGCTGTATTTGTTGCATATGCAGTTTATGATTACGTATTTTCTGTGGCAACTGGCAAGAAGAGTTAATTAATGGATAAATGTGGTAGCAATGTCTTGTAACTGGGGCAACTGTATATGCCAATAGCTGCGTCACAATTATTAGGGGGAATAAGATCAAAGGAAAAAAATGTTCCTCATTGATCAGGGAAACCAAGTGAGGTGAGTTTATAAGGATCCTCCACACCTCCAAGCTTTGCCCTTTCGGTGTTTTTGTCGTAGGTAACGCCCTTGGGAGTCCTTCTTGATTTTTGACTTTTTGTGTGTGTGGAGGGGGGTTGGATTGGAACAAAAGATCCCAGGAACATACCATTAGCTTACTGCACTAGTTTAGATTCCGCTTTTCTTGATCAATGGGGTATTCTCACACTGAATATTCTTTTGGATCGTTATGGAATGTCATTTGGAGATGAAAATTCTGCATTGGTTAAAGTGGGTGTCCACTGTGAAATGTTTTTCTTGAAAATTGAAGAAGTTTGGCATTTAAGATGACTAACAGTCGTTATTGTCTTCTTAATGTCTTTAGATTCATTTATCTAGATCACCTTATTGGTAATCCATTTTTAAAACTGATTATTTAGTTGGGATGTTTCTTATACTTTGTGTGCCCATCAACGTGTGCTGATCAGCACTAATCACTATACTGTTCATCCCCTGGTTAGGATACATGGGACTCAACTAGCAGAGATGCCATTCATTGGGACCCGCCATATATATAGACGCCAAGGGATGTGCCGTCGACTATTGTATGCTATTGAATCGGTATGGAGATAATATTTTTTGGTTGGCCTTGCTTTGTAATGTCAGAAATTGTGCAAATATGATGATATTATGTTTTCAAAAGAATGGTTAATATATGTTAGCTCTTCAGATCTCCACCCTGGCTTTTGAGATCTTGGGCTCTCCTGTCATTCATGCTTGTTCCTGTAGTTGTTGCATATGTACACATATAATGTGTTTCAATATTTTAGATTATTAGTTGCCATTGTCTAAGTGTTGATTTCTCCATCAAATTCTGAGAAGGTTCCTTCTTTTTCTTTTTCCTTTTCTTCATTGACCTTGCTTTCTTTCTTCCCATTGTTTTAGGTTGCGTTTGGTAACATTTTTGTTTTTGTGTTTTCAAAAAAATAAAAAACAGAAACAATTATTGTTTTTTCTGTGATAAAAATAAAAAACAAAAAATATGTTTGATAGTCATTTATGTTTCAGAAATTATAAAACAAAAACAAAAAACATATTTGGTAACCGATTCAAGTTATTGACCCTAGTTATTAGCCTTAATAGTATTTCCTACTACAAAAAACAACTCAAAATTTCTTATCCCAACACATCCACCAACTCACCAAATAACAACGAAAGCAAGATAATTGAATCACACAAGTCATTAAACATAACAATATATCCCATTGTTTGTCATTAAACTCGAACAATTAATACAAATGCAAACAAAAGTAATGCACAATACAAATCAAATTGAAATTCTTTGTCATCACCGATCTCCTTTTCAATTGTCTTAGAAGTACAAAAATACAGATTACACAAAACCTAAATGCCCAACGATAAAAATATAAAACATTAACAAACACAACTAC